TTATTTAATTGGTAAAGGTAAGGTACTGATTATCTTGAAGAAAAATATCTTTAAATTCTTTACATAGCTTTGTGATAACCTTCTGTCCTCAATATTAAAATGGTTAATTCTAAGATTGTCCTAATGTTCGAAGCTAATATAATAATAATCTCTATATAATATGATTTTTTTGGATCTACTTTAATTGGATTTTCGATTAAAATTATTTTGTCCCAGTTTGACTTATTATTTATTTCATACATACCCTGTGAAATGTATATACCCGGTGAAATGGTTATTTCTGGGTTAATTGAAATTGAGGGGATTAAGATATTGTCATGTTCTAAATCTACAGGCATTTTAATAATAGCTTTAGTTTTTGGTGATATGAGAAATTTAGCGGAAGTTAAGTTTGGTTTAAAAGACAAAGGGATGCTGCAATTCCTTGCGATTAATTGCTTTCTCTCTCTCGAGGTCTATGTTCGCACCTCAATTAGTAAGTATATCGAGTCCAATGAGACCATCAAAATAGTTGTAAAACTTAAAGACAAATAATTCCAGGATTCCACATTCTCGGAATTCTGTGAACATAGGGATGTTAACTTTTGAATTAAATTGGTGTTTGTTTAACACAGTGGTTATGCCTATTGGTGCACAGTTTTCTATGTTAAATTCTACTGGGTTTTTAAAGGATGCTGATGTGCCTGTGTCTATAAAAAAACGGAATAGACGCCCAAATGGAGATAAAAGATTTATATAAGGAAAGTTAGTGCCATGGTTGTTCATATCTACGTATCCTGTTGGGTTTTCTAAATGAAAATTTTGTACATCCTCTATCGCGTTGTAATTGCCAAACTCAGGTAAATAATTTGGAATGTTATATTTTCAGGATTTGAATAGGTATAAAAGATCCTATAGTTATGGTCAATATGATTTACTTCTCTTGGAAATATACGTGTTTGTCCACTATTATGCCTTAGATGATTATAGCCTGAACTAGTGTCCATGGGTTCTGGTGTTGGAAAATTTGTGTTACTGTCTAACCGTTGTTGTTTAAAATTGCTAAATTGGTTTTGATTGTTTGTGGCTGTGGGGTAATGTATTTGCTTAGGTGTTGGTAAAAAACTCGGTGCTAACTGAGGTCTATTAATTGGTGTTGGTAAATTTAATTGGGGTCTATTAAGAGGTAGATTGATTGGTAATTGTGGTCTATAAAATGGTTGATTGATTTTTATTGGTTGATTGATCTATTAAAATGCATAGGGGGACTAGAAATCGCGTTTTGTTGTCTATAATGATTTGAAGTGAATGGTTTTTTAATGATAGGGCAATAATATTGTGAGTTATACTGTCTATGAGTTTCTTATGTAAAACGTGATTTGTTTGGTAATACAGCATGAAAAAGCTATTGGTAAAGTATCGGACTATATAGTCCTAATGGAAGAGCCTAATGGTTATCTAAATCCAGATAAAAATGTATTAATGCACATTTTATCAAATAAATCTCGTTCAGCTTTTATTATGTTGGCATCTACCTCGTGTATCAACAGATTATTGTTAATTGTAGCTTGGATCTCTACAACTGAACTAAAAAACCCCTCTATTGTCTTATTACTTTGTTTTAGGAGGTGTAAGTCTCGAATCTATGAAGTTTTATTTCGTTTATCAGAGTAATGCAATATGAGATTATTTTTAATGCTCTGCCATCTCAAGTTTATGCAATACATATTCAAAATGTCATTTGCTTCTCCTTCAACTTTCTTACATATAGACCTTAAAATCATCTTGGCAAGAGGGGTGCCATCAATGGGTGCTAAGACTGTAAGTATTTCCTCCACATTGCTTATGAAATCATATAGCAATCTAAGATTTCCGTCAAATTTCGAAGAATCCTTAACGGAATCTGGGATTCTTAAGGAATCCAGTTCTATCAAGGGTTAATTGTTTCTAGGTAGTATAAGGACGAAATTTACGCATATACTTATTTTTTTCTTAAATCAATCTATTAAATCAATCAATTCTTTTCTTTAGAAAGAAAAATTATTAAATATTATCGAAATATATATGTTTATATTTCAATATAATTACTTAACTAATATTTAATAGATAAATTATTTCAAAAATTATGTATTTCTTTTTCTTTGAAAAACATGGATAAATTATTCTATCTTTGTTCATAACATAAGTTTTCACTTTTTTCTTTTATTAAAAATTATTCATTAAATATATTTTTTTTTATATAGGGTCTTTAAAATATTGTTCTATTTTATTTTAGTAATCAAATATTTAAAAGAATTGCTTGTTTCTAGCTTTATCACCATACACTTTTCTCACAATAAATTGCTAAGAAGTAAGTATATGTCAGGTCTTCCTTCTGGCTCAGGTAAGATAAGATAAGGTAAATAAGAAAAAAAGGGGGGGATAAACATTAATGGTCACCTGTGTAAAGGGTTATAAGAAAGGAAAGGGGGTTAGCGGTAATAAATTATGACAAGTTCGGGTCGATACAGTTTTAAGTAAGGATTTATTTCACACCTAGAACAATTCAAGAAAGGGAAGGGGATTAGGGACAATAAATTAATGTTCTTGTGTTCGAGTTGTGTGAAATAAGAAAACAAATACTAGTTGTTTATGAGTTTTGCCTTGTTAAGGCGAAGATCATATGTTTTATGATTTATGTGTTTGTTTTCTCTTTCGAGACGAGCTTAATGATCCGAAATTTGCAGTGAAAAGGAAAGCCAGATAGACACTATCACACACTCACCACTATGCGACGCGTTTCGCCGTTGGTTAAGCGGCTCATCAGGCATATTTGGTGTGGATGATGGCTTACAAGGGCCGTTCTCTGGAAAGTAGTATATATTTAGAACATATTGCAAATTAGCATATGCGAATTATACACTAGAAACTCTCCAGGTTCGACTCAAGTTCTATTGGCAGATCTTTTTCACAGCAAAGTTTTTTTTTTTTTTTTTTTTTTTTTTTTTTTTTTTTTTTTTTTGTAGTGATGGATTTTTTGTCCACAACAACTACATTGCTTCCAATGCATACACTTGTTTTAGTGCTGCTTTAGGAAGACGGGTTAATGGCTCTGAACGTAGAGACGGCAACTTCTAGTTGGCTGCACACCGAGGTCCGCGGTTCAAATCCCACAGCCAGGCTCGGCTGAATTTTTGAGTTTTGCCTTGTTAAGGCGAAGATCATATGTTTTATGATTTATGTGTTTGTTTTCTCTTTCGAGACGAGCTTAATGATCCGAAATTTGCAGTGAAAAGGAAAGCCAGATAGACACTATCATACACTCACCACTATGCGACGCGTTTCGCCGTTGGTTAAGCGGCTCATCAGGCATATTTGGTGTGGTTGATGGCTTACAAGGGCCGTTCTCTGGAAAGTAGTATATATTTCGAACATATTGCAAATTAGCATATGCGAATTATACACTAGAAACTCTCCAGGTTCGACTCAAGTTCTATTGGCAGATCTTTTTCACAGCAAAGTTTTTTTTTTGTTTTTGTAGTGATGGATTTTTTGTCCACAACAACTACATTGCTTCCAATGCATACACTTGTTTTAGTGCTGCTTTAGGAAGACGGGTTAATGGCTCTGAACGTAGAGACGGCAACTTCTAGTTGGCTGCACACCGAGGTCCGCGGTTCAAATCCCACAGCCAGGCTCGGCTGAATTTTTGAGTTTTGCCTTGTTAAGGCGAAGATCATATGTTTTATGATTTATGTGTTTGTTTTCTCTTTCGAGACGAGCTTAATGATCCGAAATTTGCAGTGAAAAGGAAAGCCAGATAGACACTATCACACACTCACCACTATGCGACGCGTTTCGCCGTTGGTTAAGCGGCTCATCAGGCATATTTGGTGTGGATGATGGCTTACAAGGGCCGTTCTCTGGAAAGTAGTATATATTTCGAACATATTGCAAATTAGCATATGCGAATTATACACTAGAAACTCTCCAGGTTCGACTCAAGTTCTATTGGCAGATCTTTTTCACAGCAAAGTTTTTTTTTTTTTTTTGTTTTTGTAGTGATGGATTTTTTGTCCACAACAACTACATTGCTTCCAATGCATACACTTGTTTTAGTGTTGCTTTAGGAAGACGGGTTAATGGCTCTGAACGTAGAGACGGCAACTTCTAGTTGGCTGCACACCGAGGTCCGCGGTTCAAATCCCACAGCCAGGCTCGGCTGAATTTTTGAGTTTTGCCTTGTTAAGGCGAAGATCATATGTTTTATGATTTATGTGTTTGTTTTCTCTTTCTAGACGAGCTTAATGATCCGAAATTTGCAGTGAAAAGGAAAGCCAGATAGACACTATCACACACTCACCACTATGCGACGCGTTTCGCCGTTGGTTAAGCGGCTCATCAGGCATATTTGTTTATGTTGTTACTAAATAGACATAGAGCAATGCAACATATATTTTTGAGTTGCGGTAAAAATGACGTGGAGTTAGATAATTTTGTTTGACTTGTGTGTATGCTGAAGAAAAGTGGCGCTCTTTTCTGCTGAGATTATTGTTTTTACATACCTCACAGTTTTTTTTTTATCAACCCTTTATTTGTTTTTGCTGTTTTAAGTAGAAAATTACGAGTGTTTTCTTTTCACACCTGCTTCAAAAGGAAGACATTTTAAAGTCATTTTTAAGATGTGAGACCATTTTAAAAAGATTGAAATATTTCTTTCGTAAATATCATAAATTTTCGTGAAATCATGTTTTTAATAATATGTATCAAATTATCCATATGTGTGCATTATTCAATATTGTGCATTATTTTTGTAAACTGAAATGACTATTTTTCCTTTCTTCATTTTCAATTGAGATTTCGACGAAAAACCACGCTCCCTACAAATTTTTTAAATTTGTTTTCTGAATAAAAAAAAGAAAAAAAAATCAAAAATGAATTCGATGGGTTTTAAATGCAATATTTGCGCTGTAGAATTTGTTAACAGCATGGAATATCAAAAGCATTGTGAACTACATAAGTTATGTAATTTATGTAATCAGATGTTTATAAATTCTCAAGCATTAGAATTTCATAATGGAACTCATCACAATCAGCAACAAGGTCAATATAATTTTGAGCAATATCGTCATGCTGGACAATACAATAATCATGGGCAATATAATTATTCTGGAGAATATAATCAACAACTACAATCATATCAAAATAATCGCTATCATCCATATCTTTTACATCAACAACGAAAGAGAGAACTTCATAGAACACAGCAGCAACAACTTGATCAACAACAGGAACAACACAGTTTTCATCATCAACAGCAACAATATCAAACATACCAACAACAATACAATATTAATGAACAACAGTCGCAATATCAAACATATCACCATCATCAGCAAATGGAAAATATCGAAGGAAATGAGCAGCAACAATATAACCAACAACAATATCAAACCTCTCAACAACAACAAATGGACAATCACGAAGGAAATGAACAAAATATTCAACAACAGATGTCTGAAAGAAAGAGGCAATCATATGTCTTTATGTTTTGCGATTCGTGCAACATAAATGTCCGCAAAAATCTGTGGTTTAATCACTGTAGAACAAACTCTCACAAAGAAAAAAGTTGTACCGTTATTGATCCTAGAATGGTATTGATAAATAGTGGTTTTCAAAATCGCATTAAAACTTATCAATATAAGTGCGAAGAAACTACAATCAATATTGATGATTTCTTTTCGAAATCTAAAGATGCAATAACAAATATGATTCAACATGCTGTGGAATCGTACGCAGTTTTAAAGTTTAATATAGAAGTCTTGGTGAATATGCAAAGATATTTAAGGATGAAATCAAGGTTGTAAACATGGGGCATATAACCAAAATGAATCAAATAACGCTCTCAGATGATGTTGATGAAATATTCAATACACATGCAGACTCTATAAAGAATAAGATGTCTGAATTTCAAGAAAGGGACTCTGGATGGGCTCTATCTAAAATATTGTGGCTGGAGTTGAACTTAAATAAGTCTGCTTCAATTAAAGGATGGTAGTATATTAATACTCCTAAATCGTTGCGACATAAGAAAGCGTGCTGGAACTTAAAAAATAAAGATAAATTCTGCTTCAAATGGTGTTTAATTGCTGCAATGGATAGTACTCCGAATAGAAATCCAACAAGTACTTCATCATACACAATTCCGGACATAAAGGCAGAAAAAATCACCCTCCGAAATGCTGTTACTCTCAATTTCGAAGAATGAATTTTCAGTTGAGCTGAAAAATATATCAGAGTTTGAAACCAACAATCCAGAGATAAGCATAAATGTATTCGGATACGATAAAGAAGTTGTTGGAGCCTTATACCACACAAAAGCGGAAAAGGCGAATCATGTGATTTTAATTTTACTGGCGGAGGCAGATAAGGCTCACTTCATATTATTTCAAGGTAAATATAATATAGACAATGTATCAATTTGTCTATTTAACATGTTGGTTTCTTTCAGATTGATTAGGAGTCAGCTGACTACTAATAGAAGAAAAATGTCAATTTGTAATAGCTGTTTCTACTGCACCCCAGAGAAGATCTTATGATTATTCACAAAAAGTATTGTAGTCGTGTCGTCACAAATATGCCCACAGTTGAGGAAAGTATTTTAGAATTTAAGAACTATAGAAAACAAATGGACGTACCATTTTTTATTTATTCAGATTTTGAATGTGTTTAGAGACTGTAATAGCAGGTGGGGAAAGAATTAAGAAGCATATTCCATGTGCATATGGATTCAATATTAAATTTTCATTTGATAGCAGGTTAGATGTATATCATCACTATAGTGGTGAGGATGCAGCTCAAAAATTTATAGAGTAATTAGATGTTTCCCGTAGAGAAATTTATAATAATTACTTGTATCTTAATATGCCAATGAAGCCGCTATCATCTATCGAGCAAAGTATATTTGACTCAGCACTAAATTGCCATATTTGTGATAAAAATTTATATGATGATAAAGTTCGTGATCATTGTCCCCGAACTGGTAAATTTAAAGGGGCAGCTCATAATGTATGCAACATTAATTATACGGTAGCACAATTCATCCCAATATTTTTCCATAATTTTTCAGAATATGATTGCCATTTGTTTGTTAAAGAGCTTTTGACCACTATGGAGGGTAACACCACTATAATTCCTCTAACAAAAGAAAAATATATTTCTTTATCGCATACGGTGAATATGAATCCTTATGATAGACGCAAGACGTTTGAATATAGATTTTTGGATTCAATTCGTTTTATGGCTAGTAGTTTAGATCCTTTAGCTAGCTACTGTACAGATAGAGATATGTTATCTATTAGAAAACATTTCACCAATGATAATGAATTCACTCTCATGAGAAAAAGGGAATATTCTATTATGAGTATTTAAATTCCTTTGAGAAGTTGAACGACACTACCCTTCCTCCAATCGAGTCATTTTATTGTACATTAAATGATAAAAGGTCCTATATAAAAGAATATAAGCATGCTATAAAAGTGTGACAAACATTCAATTGCAAAACTTTACGTGATTACATGGAGTTATATTTAAAGGTTGACGTTCTACTTCTTACTGACGGTTTTGAAAATTTTAGAAAGTCATGTAAAAATGTTCATAAGCTTGATCCTTGCCAGTATTATACAGCGCCGGGATTATCATTTGATGCTATGCTCAGGTAAACAAAAGTAGGTCTTGTAACTTGTCTAGACATGTTTCATTTAATTAAGAATGGTATTAGAGGTGGTCTGACACAGTGCTCTAGGAGGTACACTAAAGTGAATAATAAATATATGAAGAATTTTGATCAAAACTCTCCATCAAGTTATTTATTATATATCGATGCGAATAATCTCTACTGTTGGGTTATGAGGCAATATCTCCCTAATGGTAATTTTCAACGGGTCAAAAATGAAGATATAATAAGAGATGCTAGACAAATTCAGAACTTAAAAGCAAATTCAAACATTGGTTACATATACGAAGTGGATGTAAGTTATCAAAAAACGTTACATGATAAACATAATGATTTGCCTTTCTGTTCTGAAAACAAAAAAGTTGGGGGTTCAAAATATGACTAGCTGATTGCCGATTTTGATCCAAAGAAATAGTATAGCATACATTATATGACTTTAAAGCAATGCTTAGATAATGGTCTGCTTTTGGATAAAGTTCATGGCGTAATTTCCTTTGATCAGTCTCCATGGTTAGCTTCATATATAGATAAAAATACTGAAGAAAGACAAAAAGCGAACAATGATTTCTTAAGGAATTTATTTAAACTTTTCAATGATGCAGTATTTGGAAAAACTATGGAAAATATAGATAAACGGAAAGATATAAAGTTAGTAAATCATTGGGAAACAACTAACCGAAATAAATTAGGAGCTCAATCTTTGATACCTAAACCCAACTTCCATAGCGCTAAACAATTTTGCGATGATCTTTGTGCAATCCAAATGGAGAGACTCTGTGTAACTTACAACAAACCTATATATTTATGGTTTTGTATATTGGAGTTAGCAAAATGGAAAATGTATGATTTCCATTACATTATATAAAGAATAAATTTGGTGAGCGCGTAATTCTAAATTATATGGATACGGATTCATTCATATATACTATATATACTGAAGATATCTATGAGGATATAAGAGCAGATGTTGATCAATACTTCGGTTCATCAGCTTACCCTGAGGATAATGCGTATAACATACCCCGACGAAATAAAAAAGTTATAGGTATGATGAAAGACGAGAATTGTGGAAAAATTATGCTTGAATTTGTTGGTTTAGGCTCAAAAATGTACTAGTATACGGTAGATGATGGCGTGGAAGTTAAAAAAGCTAAAGGTGTAAAAAAATGTTTCATTAGGCGATATAACATAGAAGAGTATAAGAATACTCTATTTAATGAAGTCATAGTTAGTGATACCATGTATACTTTTAGATCTAAGCTGCATGAAATTTAAACAAATGAGTTATCTAAAATTGTTTAAGTTTTACAGATACTAAAAGAATGGTTCGCCAAGATAAGGTGAACACATATCTATTGAATGAATTTTTTAGTTAAGATGAATGTATTTCACTTACATATATATGTTTACATCTATATAAAAAACGAAGAAATAAATAAACAATAAAAAAAATATTTTTAAAATGTATTTTTTTATTTATTAAATTATCAATTAATTAATGAAATGAGTATAGAATATTACAATATTTTTCGAACAATTCCATTTAAAGGATTATAGTCGATTAATTGATCATGAAGGATTAAGCAGTAAGCAGCTACACCAGCTGGAATTTGTGAAATAGTTTCAAATTCCACTTGAAAATCTATTGGATCGCTTTTGACTACTTCGTTTTGGTGGCTTACATCAATTACAACAATTGGGTTTTCTTTAAACTCTTCCCAAGATAATATTGGTTGTGGTTCCCTTAAAAAGTAGTTTTGTTGAAATTTCGCATACATATCGTAAAGTACGGCATATCTGTTTTCATCAAACTTCAGATTTAAGTCATCGTACGGATATGCTTCTGAGTTCAAATGAACTTTCATGTTTACCAAATTTGAGTGAATAAATTTCCCTTCTTTTTCTAAAGCGAGTAATATAAAGCGTGGACGTTCTCTATTAGTCGACAATTTTACATTCCAATGACATTTAGTTGCACCCTGGAACGTTGGATTAAAATGACAGTCCCAACTTCGAAAAGCAATAGGGAGAGGTTTTCCATTATTTATTATTCTCATAATCTGCAGCTTTGATGAATCTGCTAAGCATACATGAGGTATCCTCCATGTTATATTATTTATTTCTACATTTAGCTTCTCGTTCGAATCGGTAGAATAACATACATTTTGATTACCCGAACTACGCAGCATAATAAGATCATGTTTCTATTTAATATTACTTTATTATAGTCCTCTGCAAACCCCAACAGCATTTTAAGTGGAATACAAAAATTAAACATGTTACTATTTAAATCAGCACCATTAGTCCATCCAGCATTCTTCATAATATTACTCTCAACACTTGTAAGAGAAACAAATTTTTTTATAGTGCTCGATGCTCCTAAATGGCGTGTACGATCAATTTCGATACCATTTAATTCATATCGTATTTCATCAAATAAATATGCTACGCAGTTATTACGTAAACGAGCATTAGCCGTTAGTTTTCCATCTGATGATGTTATTACACCTTCAACGTAGATGTAACTCTCACTTGACAAGACATATAAATCTCGATTTTGTATTGTAATTCTAATTTCAACATTATTCTTAAAAAAACGAATGTAGGGTACATAGCTGTTATAATCTTTTTTGATTATGCTGACATCAGAATACGGCGCGTCTTCAACATTAAGTATTTCAGACATTTTCCTTTAAGTGTAGTTTAACGGATTTCAATTTTTTTTAATAATAACCTTTATAGGAACGCGAGACTCTCTCTGTGTTTTATTATACTTATTATATATAATCATTTTGATATAGGTCTCAAATGTAGCCGAGCAGTAGTTTCTTCACCGCGAAAATTAATTAGGCGTTGTGCTTGATCAGTAATCCAAATTTTTAGGCAACTTATTTCTTTCACATTCACAGGTAAATAAATCAACTTACGAGGTATTTCATCTATTTTATATCCAGGGGAAACATTTATTCCGAATTCATGTAAAGGTGTATTATTCTTATATGCTTATATACTCGCAAAATATTTACTGGGAGTTGCGAGCAATGTCTTCTACCTGG